ATTGAGTACGTTTCCAAGGTGGAAAGTTTATAGGCCAGTGCCCTTCTGTTTCATGGTCTCAAGAGAACTGCCATCAAATACTCTGCTGTTAATTAACAAAGATTATTTTATCCAGTTATCCATGCTTCCTTGTTAGCACAGAGCAAGAGAAAATGCCTGTATAACCCCCTTTAAACAGTCTCATTTCTCCTGTAAGGGTTAACACTAAAGGAGGTTGTAAGTGCATTATTTTCTTGATACTTTATTCTCACACCTAAATGAACTTATTGACTTTAAAACCAACTTCTAAAGATAGGCAAAGGACATTTCTAGGCCCTCAAATGATGGTGAAATATCTCCTTCAAATGCCCCTTAAGAAATCTGTTCATCTGTTCATAATGTAAATTACTTTATTTCACATCTAAGAACTTCTTGTATAATCAGATAAGTTTGCAAATAGGACATGACCACTCATGAGAATTCTGTAGCAGACTTACATTTCTACATATTTAGATACAGCTAAGAATATGAGATTCTTTTCTGCTTAAAAGCCTGCAGTGGGGGGAAAAAAAAAGACTGTAATGCGTACCCATAGTCTCAAAAATAGTCTTGGCCTGACTGGTATGGCTCAGTTGGTTGGACATTGTCCCACAAAGCAAAAGGTTGCCAATTCAATTCCGGGTTAGGGCACACACCTGGGTTGTGGGTTTGGCCTTCATTTGGGGTGTGTGTCAAGAGGCAACTGACTGATGTTTTTCTATCACATCAATGTTTCTCTCCCTATCTTTCCCCCTCACTTCTCCCTCTCTAAAAATAAATAAAGTCTTTAAAAATAAATAAGTAAATAAATAAATAGTCTTAACTCCAGAATAGCACAAAGGCTTGGTTTTCCAGTGTCAGTGTAGCTTCCTTATTCCTGTGCTCTCCTCACACCAGTGCACATGCTACCCCTGAATATAAACATCTCCATTCCTTTCCATATGTCCTCCCTCCCCCACTTAGAACCTTTTTCTTGTCGATCCTCCAAATGCTCATTAAGCATTACCTCCTTTATGAAGATGACCCTCAGGCATCATTATAACATGGTTTTAACCATGATATATATAAACCTACTTTTGCCCCACCCTTTATGCATGTGTGTATGTGTGTGTATGTATGTACATGTATGTGTGTATGTATGTACATATACACACATTATATACATATATAAAATGATCAAATGATCACAGTATTAAGACAATAGCCTAATTGTTAGTTCAATTGTCATTCTAATTAAAAGACTAAAAATTAATAAGGTGTACCTTGATAATAACAGTGTCTAGTGCATAGCCTAAAACATAGCTGGTACATAAATTATATTTAAAAAATGAATGTGTGATTGTCATCTACCTTTCACTTACCTCATCAATATATTTAAAACCAATTTAATGAACTAGAAGACTGGAACAACATTTATGTGGCTTAACGAAGTTCCATACAGGAGAGAATTAAAATCCAGAACCAAAACACAGTAAGTCTTCATACACTACTTAGAATGAACATATATGAGGTCTTTGTATACCACTCAGCATTCCAGGACATTCCCTTAGCTGATCATGCTCTTCTTTAATATCACCTCTGGGCCAAGTATGAGAAAGACTTAGGACTTTCAAGAACTACTGAACCTTACTGGAGTGCAGGAGTGCAACAATTCAAAACTAAAGCATATTCCATTTTTAAAATAGCTTTGTCCATTTGATGTCAAATAATGAATCTGAAATACGAAAACAAAAAAGCAAACAGGTAGTGATCTGCTTGACTAAAACCATACCAGTACCTTCTCTCAATGTTTTATTTAGTTTTCTGTGAGGCTTTTAGTTTTATTTTTCTTCACCTAATGAATACATTCTATCTCTATGCAATTTCAGTCTATATTTATTGATATCCTAGTCTCTAGGCAACATTGTTATAAATAGAATGAATTTGTCCCAGTATTTATTTATTGTATTTTAAAGGTGTATTCTCTGTTTCAGTGTTTACCTTCTGAGAAATAACCCTTAAATGCACACTAACTACCTTTAATTGAGAAAAGGGCAAAAAAGAAAATGGTCTCACCAGATCTAAGCTTCTAGATTTGCAGGTAAACACTCTTGCTAGTGCTTCTGAATTATAAAAGAGAAACACAGTTTTCTCTACAACAATAACCTGTAAACAAAATCATAAATACCCTTCCATATTTTTATTCTCACTTCTACTGGCTTGGCTACTATTACTGGTAATATTTCTCATATTGATTGTTAAAGCCTTATTTTGGCTGCAGCTAAAACAGCATATGAGCGCTGAACAATAGAACAGGTAAACATGCCATAGCTGTTATTATACTATTCCTACAAACACCATGAATTGAGGTCAAATGGAGATGGGAACATCAGCATGACTAAGTGACCATAAAACAAAATTAAGCCTCAGCATCCAGCCTGGGCAAGAGACTTGGAGGCCCTAGGGAGAGAATCAGCATTCTTCCCAACCCCCATTCTGGAATCTGGAAATTCTATCACACTCTGTTGAATATAGATCCATAGAAATAAAGCTTGTTTCTACCACTGCCCCAACCCCCAACCTTCCAAGACTGTGGATTTCTCTAGGGTCAGGTTCTTAGAAAGCAGTAGTGCTGTTAACTCAGTGAATGGTAAGATTTCGTAGGGGAAAAAAAGTCAAGAAATCACTCCAGAGAATGCACAGAACTTCCAGGAGTCTAAGGAGAAATTGACATTATGGAACGATAACTGTGACTGAGAAAAGTTTCCAAAATTGATGCTATTAAAATTATTTCTCCCTCCAAAATCTCATGTAATAATAAAAAAAGATGTTCACAAAAATTGAAATGCAAAATCATCATCAATTTTGGTCTTCTTTCTGCATTAGGAGAAAAGGTTAGAAATATTTAAATTGTGTCACTTTAATTGGGCAAATACACTTATTGGTCCATAACAATGGCAATTCAATTTTTCTGTTGTGTTTAACTTGAGCCAAGAAGAAATTCTCTTGTTGCCATATTTGTCAAGGTATATCTATTAATGATAATGGTAGGAAAGGAAAGCATTTATAAGAAAGAAGAGTAATGGCTGAACAATCTTTCTGTTTCACTTCCATATAAGAGCAAAATAAAACCTTTGTTAATGTCTACAAAGATAAATAGTAAGCTATACAATGACTTTAATGCCATTGTGGCTGTGTTGTATTTTCCAATGTAAAATAGTTTTAATCACTGTATACAACTTTGTACAAGAGTAAATGATCTTGGTATATACATCAATGTGTTTACATCTTGTCCCCACTTGTAAGACCCACCCCCAACCAACCTCAGCCCCCACTGAGAGCTAGGCTACCAGGAGTAGGGCTTTCTAAGTACTTTCTATTTTCATGTGAACCCACATACTAATCTGGAAGTGTAACTTGGCCTAAGATTTTTTTCCTCTTCTTTAGATGCTAGAAGCAGATTGTAGCAGGGTTTAAAAGGCTGCTAAATCTATATTTAACACCTCTCCTCTATTTAACCTCCTCACTGGCATGTGATTCCCAACTCTAGAACACCATTTTTTCACTTTCTTCCTAATTACAATCTTCCTGCCCAATATGTTTCCATTAAGAAAGCTGGAGAGATTAAGGTGGCAGAAGCTTTAGAAATAGGTGACCTATAAGTAAAGCTATTTTTACTGAAGAAACTTTAGGAAGATGAAAATGTCAAGAGAAGACTAAAAGTTGAAGCTGAAAATAGATGGGTCATAAATTCTCATTTATGTATTGACCCCTCAACACCCTAGAACTGTAGACAATAGTAAAAGGGGAGAAGGAGAAGGTGGAACAGAAAAATCACCAAGGTCTGAAAAATAAAAAAAATAAAAAAAAGCTGAAGCTTCTCATCTAAATTCTGTTCTTTCAAATTCAGAGGAGTGAGCATAGTCATGTTTTGTTCTGGAACAGAATGTATATAAATTGTGACTTTCCCAAAGTGACATTAAAATTTAACTATCGTGTTTAAATAACTCTAGCCCTGTAAATGCGCCGGTAACTTCAATTGTTGAAGCAAATGCTTAAAATTATTCCTCTGTGAGTCATAAGGTGCATCATCCAAGGCTACAGTCTCCGATGCCCCTGGAACAATGAAAGGCCATGCCAAAGAAAGGTACTTGATTGAAAAGCTTGACAGGATAAAACGGATACACTTGCACAGCAAATGAAGTCACATCTTACCTCCCTCACTAAATTCCACAGGAGAAAATTTACGTGTACACCCAAGGAAATATTCCCACCTCAGCCACTTCTGCAGAAGGCACTGCTATGTCCGCCAGTGTGGCTAGAACAGCTCATACCTTCTTCTGGAGTAGAAGAATTATTGTCTACTCCTGGATTTTCAATCAATTAGCTTAAATAAATCTGGCCAGTTTTTCAGTTACTATATGTTATCACTTTCCCAAACTCTAAAACAAATGGACTAGTGCTAAGGCTGCACATGCCCAGTAGAAAGCCTACCATGGAGGAAATTGTTTCTCCTCCTCTTCCTTCTTTTCATAAGATTGAAATAGACAATTATGCAATAAATTGACATTGACCTTAACATTTAAAAGTGATACGCTTGTAGAAATACCCACATTCACAAATTCACACACTCACAAAGCACTCCTGGGGGAAAAAAAACTCCAAAATACAAAACAACACTACTTCTCATTCATTACCAATTGAATCGCTCCAGCCTCTCAGAGTGTAGTATTAATTTGTGCTACAGAACTTAGGTATATTTTCTCATTTCACTTCCACAACGATTCTTTGAGGCTGATGTCTTCATCATTTCTACTCTTTTAACTATTTCAAATTACTTCAAGTAACAGAATTTCAAAGTGATTTGCAAATACCAACAAAACAAACGTTAAATTTGTGAATGCTGAGGCCCCATTGTATCAATAAGAACATGAGGACATAGGGTTGGAACTGATTTTCCTTCCAATCAATAGCGCCCTCTGTCCCTGGAACTGGCTACCTACCTTCCTTGGCCCTCTGTGTGGTGGACGCTGGTGTGTTCTGGGCACAGTACACCTCCCGGGTCTGGATCCCACCTCCACAAACCGGTCCTGTCACATGCCAGTGGGGGTCTTGCTGCTCGAGAAGGAGAGAGACTTGGCATTCTGTCCATTCAGAAGTCCTCCAGGAATACCTGTGTGGTTTGATTTATTTAAAAGAAGAAAAGGAAGTAAGAAAACTATAAAACTCTAAAGAAAAGTTATGACACCAAGTGTGCATAATAATCTCTCACTCTAAGAACAAATCTTTGCCTATGGATAAAGAAGTCTGCGGGCTTTGAATACTAAATCCCTTTTACATCCTAGAGAAAAATCATAGCAGCCTAATAGGATAAGAGGAGTTAAGGAAGGAAATATGGATAAACAGTAGATTTTTCTTAGCCTTGAAGCTGCTGGACAGAAAGAATTAGAAGGAGTTAGAAACCATATGAGCCTAGCTCATAGGAGCTGAACTTGTAATGGGGATTCATTTCAAAAAATTACAGATAACTTTGTGTGAAATCTCGCCTTTCTTTTTTAATTTGTAGGATATGGTCCAAATGTGTGAAGTTGGAAAGAGGTGGGGGGAAGGCAGAGACAAATGTATTTAAAAAGTAAATAAATTAATTAAAAAAAAAAGAAAAAAGAAAAAGAAAAAGAAAACAAATGTGTGAAGTTGGGAATATATTAATTTAAATTAATTGAAATGACCTCTAACATTTTAACTTTCTTGATAAAAGAAAGTATTTCTATCTGTTTGACCCCATGGGGAGAAAAGAATACATATTAAAAATGAGTTAATAAAGTACCCCTATATTTCATTGATGGATGCTTTTTTTTTTAACATATGAAGACATGCTGTTATTTAAATTGGCTTAGCAATATGTCCTCCTGGCTTATAACTGGTTAAGATACATACTAATAGACATGCATACACACATGCACATACATACTAACAAGCAGTGAAAACACAGAGGAGTTTATATACAGCTGGCACAAATCTAAACTACCAAAACAACACTACACTCATACCTGAAAAATAATTTCAGACAGAATTTCCTTTTGTGGGTTACTCTAACAGATGGACTCCCTCCCTGGAAATGAGGAGGGGTGGATTATTACCAAAGACAGCACATGCGTGCATTGCTGTGGTAACCGGGAAATCGTACACAAGACGCAGCAAAAAGAGGCACGTAGGGCTTGTGTCAAAAGCTGGGGAGGCAATTGGGTGGGAGGGACATACCCTCCCATCTACTTCCACTGCGCAGAGGAGTATGCAGGCAGTTTTAAAAAGCGGAATGCACTGAAAACACACATTTTGGCTCCCCACCCCGGCTGGTGGATCTGTGGCTGGGGGCTGAGGTTCCTGAGCCATTACGCCTTGCTGGAGGGCTTCCTGTGCCCCTGGCCAAGCGCTCCACGACCTGCCTGGTCAGGAGCGCAGCAGGTTCTGATAAGAGGGCTGGGAAGAGGCTTGGCTCGCAGGTTTAGGAAGTGTGACTGGTTGGCAAGCCCCATTCCCCATCTCCAGACAGGAAGAGTAGTGGCTGCCATCCGCCTGCAGCCCACGCTATTGCAGGCCTTTTGGGTACAGCCCCAGCACTGTGCGTGGAGGGAAACAGCAAGCTCCTTCCTAGGGCTCTGGCCCTGCCCGGGTAGACGAAGGAGGCTTCGGTTGGCTGGTCCAAGTAGGCGCAGCCAGGCGGCAAGCCCCGTACCCCTCCCTCGTGTGCAAAGCAGCAGGGAGCCCCTGCAGCAGCACGGCCACCTGCCCATGCACTTCTCCAGCGAAGGGGCGGGGGATGGGGTGGGGGGCGTGGCAATCAAGAAACCTGCTGTGCATATTTTAAATTTTAAAAAAAATCCTTTTTCCTTTCCACTGGACTCTGTCTCTGGAGTTTTTACCTATGGGTGGCAACAGTGGGACCCCACTGGTTGTTGGGTTATATTACTACAGCATTCCTGAAGCCCACAGTATTAATATAATTCTATGGCATTCACATGAATGCCAACAGAGTCATTAACTTCTGAAACAATAAACAAACCTAAGAACATTTTCATATCTGCTGTTCCATTTCAGATTTTAGGTAAAAATTTTCAGCTTTGTGTTTGTTTAAAAGAAAACAAAGAGCAATAAAAATAAGCAGGTGTCACCAAGACTGTGGCCTTATAGAAACTAGAGTAAAATTGACATCAAGTAACAAATGTCAAAATCAGAAGACAAATCTCTAAGAAACCTAAGAGTGATCAAACCCCTCATAATAAATGTCATCATTCTAAAGGGCCTGAAAGCTGAGAATCATTAGTGTTGTGAAAAGCCCACTGTAAGACAAACATTGGATAATCCTTCGGGGGGTTTTGTAACACAGTTGTTCTCCCTCTGCTCGCTGCTTCACCTCCACTCCTATGGTATCTCAAGGCTTAAAATGCGTGGGCTTGGGAATAGGAGTACAGAATTCAGCTCATGCTTATGCCAGTGAACATAGACAATACTGTCTCTAATTCCTGGGTATGAGGGCCTGAGGGAAGTTTGGGCCTTCACAGAGATCCTTCTTCTTTGGAGGTGAAGCCCCTAAGCCCTTTCTCCTCACTCAGAATTGTTTCCTTACTCATATTCTCTATGATCATTCAAGCACAAGGCTAGTTCCTCCTGTCTCCGAGTCTTAGGGTACAGGTGACTCTGCATTCCAGGTCAAGATACAATAAGGTAGGGGAGTAGTGGAATGGATGGTTACTAAGTCCTCATTTCAAACCCTCTTTCTGCAAAGGTTACCTAAACAAGGGTGGCTCTGGCTGTTAAGGAGGAGGTGAGGTACAGGAGCTGATTCCAAGGCTCCAAGGCAAATACGGTATGTAAAACGAGGGCAGGGTGGTGTAGGCAACAAGCATGGTTTAGAGTCAAACTGTCCTGGGCCTTGCCACTTACTCGTAGGCGACTTGGGCCTAATTCTGTTTTCTTATCTATAAAATGGAGTAATAATACAAATGTTGAACCTGGCATATGATAAATATTCAATAAATATGAGTTTCCCTTCTTCATATGTCCTCCTACATGTGGCTCTTGCCCCCTTGCTGCCACAGAAAACACGCAGACGTATACACACACAATTCACATTTTATTTATGAGGTTTTCATTGATTTTATCAAAAGTTCTAATATTAGGGTTTCAGGAATGCCATTGTGTAACTTCCAGCAACCAAAGTTAGTGAAGAGCATAAAAGAAACAAAGTTTAGAATTAGAGGGATTCAGAGTTATTTGTTTGCTTGTTTGAAAGGAATGGCCCATTCTGTAAGAATTGCTTTTTCAATTAATTTACCATGACCCTATAAGTTAGCAATGGAGAAATTTTGGAAGTCATTCTAGAGAAAAATGAGAAGGAAAGTTTAATGACTTTGGTTTTATATAAGGTAACAAAAACCCTGTTGGTAGCTCATTAAGCAAAGACACAGAAATTCCATTCAGCTGCAAACAACACATTCTCTAAAGAAATATAAGACAATTATCACTATTGTTCAGAATAGTTTACTACCTCAGAGAAAATACCAATCCAGCAAGTGGCAGAGAAAGAAGCACACCAGTAAAGGACTTCAATATTCCTTTTTAAAATGAGCATCTTTCCATGGTCTTTTCTCATCCTTTATCTTTATTTTTTCAAAAGTGCTCTCTATGTTTAGTCACAAGTCACCCAGCAGCCATGACAACTGATCATCCTGAACTCCACCAACCTGGGAAAGTGTCTCTAGGATCTGACAGAATAAGAAATCAAAGGAGTTCACTCAGCTAAATGTTACTCACTTCTCCTTTAGAAGTTGTTACAGTGATAGTCCTCCAGCCTCTGAACATCTTGGCTTTCTGACTGCCAGTAAAGGGATACTCTCTTTAATGGCTAAATCCATATTAAAGACCTGGTCTTTTTCAATCTCTCTCTCCCAACTCAGACGCCTTTCAACACACCCCCTCTTTATCCTGCTTAGGAGGGAAATATGGAGATTCTCAAAAGTCAGAGTCCTACCTCCTCTGAGTGAGCAATACTTTGAAACTGATTGTAGAAATGCCTCAAATAGAGTAGATGGCCATAAAATGAAAGAAATCAGACAATCCTCACAGCCCCTTACCATTGTGACTGTGTAGGATCCATTTGCTTTTGTCAAAGGGTCCAGGTGAACAGAATAGACAAGGCATTAATTTATTTGGGCTACTAGGGTAGCATTACACACCCCCTAAGTAATAACAACCAATATTTTCTGCATGCTTTTTCTGTATCAGACAGTACACTAACAAATTTCGGTGTATTACTTCATTTAAGCCTCAACAACCCTATGAGGAAAATGTTATTTCTCCTCTTACAAATGGGAGAATCAGAAAAAAGATAGGTAATTCTTCCGAGATCACATAGAGAAGTGGAAGAACAGAATTCAAAGTCAGGTTTATCTGATTCAAAACACATCTACTTAATGAAATGACAATCTGATGGATTAAAATAGTGTATGGAAAACCAATGAAATTTTATCAGAGGATATAGAAAGCAAGTTCAGCTATTGGCCTAGTTATTATGAGGACAAGCAAATGTTGGTCTTGGTCTGAGGAAGTGTGTTGTAGACTAAAGCAAACAAAAATTAAAAAAGCAAAAAAACAAATCTTCTATTGATAAAAAATGATATTGTCAGTGACAACTGACCAACAATATTTTGCAATGCCAAAATCATTTTTCTTCCAGTTCAAACGCAAATACAATTTGAGAATATTTTATAGCCAATGTCTATTTTATAGTAGCCATTTTATAATTAGAGCACTGTGGTCACATAAGGTCAAATTTTAGTGTGTCTAGGAAATATTCTCAAGTTAGTAAGAGAAACAAAATATAAGTCAAATAAAGGAATCTGCAGTTATAAAAGTTGTAATTACCACTAAATTATAGCGGACAACTTTTTGAAGAAAAATGCCTTTTCAAGGCCCTGCAATCAAGTTCCTCACATTTCTCTCTGGTGCTTCTGAATCTTCTTAGGTAAACCTGCCATCATCCATTCATGTGAAAACAACTCCAGTGTCCCCATTATTAGTGAGAGAGCATACAGTCAGCCATTCTGGAACCCCAAATCTCTGGAAAGGGGAGTGCTAATAACTCAAATGCTAAACGCACAAGGAAAATAATTC